AACTCCTGGTATTCTGGGATCACTGAAGGTGAGCAAGCATGTGAGAGGCAGGAGCTGAATTTCTCAAACTTGTTTGGCTGCAGCACCTTTAACATATCCTAGGCATGTGACTAAGAGTTCATAGCATACTTTAGGAAATACTGACCTAATGCAAGGCTACTGTGGCACAGAGGTACAAAGAAAAAGGGGACAAGGATGCAGCAACATTCCTTGAAGGATTTTGGTAGAGTTTTGCTGCCTGTGAGTGAAGGTCAACTTTCCCACGCCCGAATCCTTGGCCCTCTCACTGGACCTCAGCACCTTCACTGGTTTTCCCTTGTGTACTGCTTCGCTTTGAAGACTGAAAGCCTGGCCCATTCCTTTAAAAGCTGTAGCTCTCCCACTGACAAGTTTTTCTTCAAATGTCAAATACAGGCTATAGAAAACAGTGTAAGATTTTAAATCTTAAATTATAAAGTGTCAGTGAGCTTGACAAGTAATTCTAGCGCGGTTGAAAAGACAAATGATCCTGAATCCAAAGTTTCTGGAATTATGCAGAAAAAGGGTAGAGAAAAATCACATTTCTGTAACATATTTGGCTCTATGTATCTCGGTACGGCTTAATAAAAAGCAGTGTGTGAAAATATACGGAATACTTTGAAAATATTCCATGCCATTAACTTCTGACTACGTATTCCACGCGACTCAAGGCCAAGAGATGATTTGTGCTCAGGAGTACAATACGAAGGTATTAGTATCATCCACAAAGGTCAGAAGTCACTGGCGTCAAACTAAATAAAACAAAGCAAAATTCTTTTCTGGTAAGTGGCAAGGCAAATTAAAACAAAATTATTTTATGAAAAAGAACATGTACTGTGTATTTCAGCAAGCTACGAAATGCAAGCATGTTCTGATACGACAGCCGCCTCTTTTGAAACACTAACAGACTTCTTGTAAAGGTAGCAGAGGATAAGTTTGCCTTAGTAAAATAAATTTAGTGGCTGCCATGATAAAATTGCCTGGAGTTTTAAAAGTAGGAAATACGATACTAAGGAATCCACAGGAATTTTATGTGTAATCAATATACCGAAGAAAACTGAATGTGTGATCAAATTTACCATAAAAGTGAGAGAAAATGGGCAAGCCATCTTAAGAGACTGCAAATTGGGAAAGTGGCACTATAGAACTCATCCCTGAGTGGAAGGGGAACTAGTCCCTGCCTTTTGGTTTCAAGGAACAAAGCTATGAATAAAGGGAGAGATTTTTAGGAAACATGTTTCAATGTGATTTTAATGATGGTTGTTATAATTTACAGCTTTAGAGCAGAATTCAGTTCTCCATTTTTGGAAGAGTTCAAGTAGAGGCTATGGACTATCTCTTTTCTGTGGGATTCTGATGTTCTAAATGACAGTTCTTTTTTAAATTAATTTTATTGAGAAACAGACAGCAATGAGACAGTTTCAAAACTGATTAATAGAACAGTTTCAATAATTAATACATTGCATATTGTTATCATCTTAGTGGTTATTCATAGCACAAGATGCAGAAATGATATCCTGTCCAAATACTATTAGTACAAATCTTTCTTCTTAATGAATTAAGACAAAGTAGCTGTATATCTATTCTAACTGACAGTTCTAATGAGATAGCATTTAAGATAGATTCCTTACCTAGCATTCATGAGGCCCTAGGGTCTATCCTCAGAACCACCAAAGAGGAAGAAAGAGAGAGTGGGAGTGAGGGAGTGAGGGAGTGAGGGGGAGTGAGGGAGAGAGAGGGAGAGAGAGGGAGAGAGAGGAAGAGAGAAGGAGAGAGGGAGGGAGAGAGGGAGAGAGGGAGGGAGAGACGGAGGGAGGGAGGGAGGTCTCAAATTTGAGATATAAGCTTGTAGAGAATGAGAGTGCCTAATATATATGGTATGAGTCAGGGGATGCCCAACCTGATAGGAAATTTATTTGAGAGAGTTAAAAGATGATTACTAAGATTTCAAAGGTGGGGGAAACTGCATTTTCACTGCAGGGGAGATTCTGGGAGATTTTCTGAATTATGTGTATCCAGCCACAGAATTCTGAGGACGTTAATAAAGTTTCATTTTAAACAGTGAACTTACGGAACTGTGACTGAGTAACATATGGGGGAAGTTCTCCTAAGAAGCAAGAGAAGGAAGCACTACAAATTGCTTCAGAAAGAATGGTGTATTTGGAGAAAAATGCTCAGCTTGTGAAACAGCTGGGAAACTGCAGGTTCTAAATCTTTGCCCTTCCTTTGGGGAGGAGAGGCAAAGAGCAGTAAGAAAAAAGAGGTAGGGGACAGGAAAGAGGAGGTGGAAAAGAAAGCCAAAAGAGAATAAATATTTTGGGGCTGAAGCAAGATAATTGGTCTTTTAGGGGGCTCCACTGATTATTTCTGTATTCTTTGTCACTAAAAGGTTATTTTTCTTTCAGGATATTTTAAAGCAAGCCATGTTCTTTTATTTCCCAATTCAGCTTGCCAGTTGCCTTGGGAGTACCAATTATGTTTTCCTTACCTAAGAGAGGAGAGACCTATTATTGCTGAAGGTTCGTTTTTAAAAACACACGGCTTAAAACTCAAAACAGTGAAGAATTATGTCACAGCTATTTTTGAAATCATGATCTCTTCAATGAGTTTCAAGCACATTCTAATGGAAAAATAGCATGGTGCCTGGAAAATCCTTTGACAGAACTATCTAGATGAGGTTTACTTTTTTTCTTAAGAATTTGAAAATAAAGCTAGAAATTTAAACATGACTTCAAAGAAATCCACCCATAACATCTTGCACAAATTTACAACAGCATAGTTTAAACTCCAAAAGTAGACATGTCTTCAGTCAAACTCTTACAGCCCAACGAGTCAAAGGTAAACCAAGTCATTGTCTCCGGTAGCTATCGTTGGCTTCACACTGTCCTCTTCCTGATTCAGTTTCAGTGCTACATAGAAGATGCTTCTCAAGGTTTACTTTACTTCCAAATCAATATTTCAAATCATGAAATTTATATTCCAGATGATATACTCCCACAACAATTTTTTGTTTGCATTAGAAGACATAACATCCAAAGAATTTTTAGGTCAAAAGCAAACAAGCAGGAACAAAACATGTTTCAGTATTTCATGAGTGTGAAAATGGTAGTTAATCCAGGTTATAAAGAAATTCTAAGTTCTTGAGCTGAGACTTTGAATGAAGTCTGTTTGTAGAGCATTTTTGCTCCTTCAGAGCTCTTGTGCAAAGGCTACTGCCTAGGATATGGTAGCGATATGGTAGATTACATACGCTTTTACAAAGCCTACTTCAGAAAAGTTAGTGAACATGTGCTCGCTTTGGCAGCACATATACTAAAAAAGTTAGTGAGCAACTACATAAAGAATAAAGGAAAGAAGGGAAGAAATGAATGAAAAATGCTAGGACAGTGATACAAAAACCAAGCCCAGGAAGCAGTGGCGGTGGCGGTGGCGAGCACAGTGCACACCAGCTGTCCTTGGTTGGCAATCCAGCTTGCACCATTATTAATTAGGAGGCCCCACACTCACCAATAAACTTTGCTAAGCCTCTCTAGCCTTTGCTCATATCAAATGTCCATTTGTGTGCAATATATGTTGCATTACAACACACATTTTAAATATATGAAACCAAGCAAATACTAAATAAATGCTATGGAAATTATTACAGAAGTCTTATATAGTAACTTAATACAAACATTATCCACAACTACAAAATCAGACCCCTGGGCTTGAAGACAAGCTCTCTAGAATGCAGAGAAATGAGCAGGATGAACAGAAACTTCTGGAAGTAAGCTCCACTCTTAGCACGTGTCATGGAAGTTACTTTCCTGTCGAGCTGGTATAGATTGGTATTCTCCAGACTCCTCTCGAGAAAGCGCTAGGGACAATGGCTCGTTCTAGACATGCATGAAAAGGCCCTGTTTGAGAAGGGTGGACATGTTTCTAGATATGCCTATTGAGGTTGCCCGCTGTCGATATGTAATACTGGATCGTGATCATCCTGTAATAGACAGCGGAGATGAAGCAGTCACATCAGCGTGGTACCCTATTTATAATTGCTTTAATTTTGCTTTAGCTTTTTTATCCTTTCTATAGCTCAGACTGGGTTGACATCAGTTACTGTCCAGGGCTCCAGAAACTTGTTGGCAGCTGGCAAACACCATCCTGTAGCTGCAGTCCAGTCTGAGGGAAGGGAGAAAGGAATCCATGTACACGGGGGGCAGAAGCCACATGGTCGGGGCTGTACCTACAGGGGCTGTGCCTGTGGGGCTGTGCCTGCAGGGCTGTGCCCCTCGTCGAAAAACTAAGTATGAACACATTCGTATTAGTAAAGCAGGCAGTGCTGTACCCCTTGTTATGTAAATTCCCTTCTCTAGCAGGCTGGACAAGACCATTGCTACGACTAGTAGGAGAAGACTGTGCAAGCATCTTAGCGCTGGGCCGTGTGTGTGTGAAACACTGAGGGACATTTCAACTTCTGTTTTCAAAGCATGTGCAAATCAGACCCAATGCATGTGTACTTCAGAGCTGTCCTCTGCTGAAATCTGATGATTTTTGGTTTTTGCATCCAGCCAGTGTACACACTGAATTGTTGCCTGACACCAAATTCATATGCTGAGGTTCTAAATGTGACTGCACTTGGAGATAGGGTCTTTCAGAGGCAATGAAGATAAAAGGAATTAAAGGTGGGGCTCTCATCTGACGATACTCATGGCCCTATGATAGATAACAAGAGAGACATCTTTCTGTCATTGTGAGCTTTAGGAGAGGCCGTGTGAGAACGAACTCACGAGGAGCCATCGCAAAACAAGAGAGCCTCCGCCAGAACCCGAAGAAGTTGCAGTCTTCAACCTCTCAGCCTTCAATGCTGTGAGAAAATAAACTACTTCTGGTTCAGCCACGCAGTCTATGGAGGGTTATGGAAGCCTGAACACACCATGTCGGACCCTTGAAAATGAGGGCTCTCTCCATACACAGGCCGCTCTGCTCGGAGCCCCACTCACCATTAGCAGTCTGTCTCCCACTTGCAGCCTTCCATCTTTCTGTGCAGCTCCGCCATCTATGATTTTTGTTACGTAGATGCTGTTGTCTCCAGGAATGTGCTGGTTCCCCACACCTCCCGCGATGCTGAAGCCTAGACCTGCGGACAAGGGACAGAAAGGGACAAGCACACACAGTTAATCATACTTTAACAGCTAGTTTTACAAGTTTATCTTCTATTTATTGTAATGGCAATAGATAAAAATAGAAAATCTATTTAAATTGATTTTGTCCTTTAAATATTTGAAAGCTTATTGATTTTTGCTACTGAGGCAAAGATTTTCCCGTCAATCCCCCATGAACATTAGTTCGTTCTGCTTCAGGACTCTGCCCATAACTGCTTCTGTTCTTCTTCAGCCAATTAGTTTATTGTAGCTGACTGGTCGGATAATGGGTTAGCCTGACAGGTCAGAGGGATTCTGAGCGATCCAGGAAGACTTGGGTCCAGCTCTGATCATGGTGGGCCTATAGCCTCATCTCTCATAAAAGTTTGAAAAAAAAAAACTACCTATTCTAGTTATTTGGGCAGAAATCTGGAAACTATTGACATTTCAAGATGAAAAAATAGAGCTGTAAGAAAACTGCACAAATTCTGGGACAGGAGCCACAAGGAAGGTGTCCACGTTGAATATAGTCATAGCTTCAGAGCAAAGATAAGGAAAAGGAGCTGGTGGCTAGCTTTCAGGTTTTTACCTCTGAAAGCTGTCCTATTTTTATACTTCCTGTCATTTAATGTTATAAACTGAAGTGAGGTTAATGACATAAGAAGTGAATCATCCCTATACATTATAAAAAAATAGATAGTATAATTTATCATTTTTATAACAAATGGCAGAATATCAAATTATTTTTAAAGTGACAGTTTTCTATTTAAAAAGATGAATTTTACTAAACTATGGCTTATATATTTTTTTTTGTTAAAAATGGAATGATAGGAATAATGGAGTCATTTAATGAAATCATGATGAGGTCATTTTAAAGAAATGATTGATAGAACCTGGAAGTGTACAGGATTAAAATCTTTCTTCCAGAATATGACTGAATAGAGTCTGTACAATACTTACAGCATATATTTTTATTGCACTTAAAATGAGAATAATTAATATGCAGATTATTTAAAATACAGAGGTAATAATAATCTAAGGTCTTTGATGTTAGAAAGTTTCCATAATTTTATTCACTCAAATTCCTTAAAAATCATACATCTATTTCACTGATGAAGCTATCATAATAAGTTTTGATATTTTCTATAACAATTATGAAAAACACATTAGTCAATACTAACTCCATTTTACAATGTTTTCATTGAATAAATACTGGATACAGGTATGTGCTCCTGAGGTACATAAATCATTAATGGAAAAATGATATGTAGTAAAGTATAAACTAACCTCTTGAATTATGTTAGAAATGTAATGATTTTTAAATTAATGATGATAGCTGTTAACAATAAATGGAAAATGGATTTAAATTAATGGTGCAATTAAAGTAAGTGTTATCCAATTTTCTACTGAAGTAGATAATTATTTGTTGCTAATGCCTTGGCACCTCTAGGACCATGAATATATTTATTTGCCTGGGATTTAAAGAATTTATTTATTAAGTAAAAGATGACCAGAGAATAAATAAAATATGCCCAAATTAACTTTTAAAATAAGCTTTAAGGGATATGTCAACTTATCATTTCTAAAACTGTTACTTTGTTGATTAAATGGATATAAGGATTTTTAAAAAAATATATTTACAAAACTTTCATAGTTACATACTACAAGAAATCTACTACAATTGTCTATTGCATTTACTGCATTTATATATCCAAAGCCAAATGGAGAGATCATTCCAGTCTCTGTAAGGAAAAGGTTAAGCACACATCCAGGAACTCTGATTTACATTCAAGTCTAGCAATAAATGCCACATGCAACCTTAGCTTCAGTAGAGTGATGAAAAAAATTACCACATGAAGACGATTAAGTTCAACAAAGAGAACAGCTATGCACTTGACATTTGAGGTGGAAGACTGGATCAAAACAATGAAGTCAGTATGGATATTGTGGGCATAAATATATCAGCTACGAAGTAAGTAAGACTTTTTATTTTGAGGATAGGTTTATATTCTTCTTTTTACCTAGTGATTCTTTTCAAGGAGAAGCAAGATGTTTTTAGTACATATATCCCTTTCAGAGCCACAAAATATCTTTGAAGGAACAGAACTTAAAATTTCTCCTTCTTTGATAGAACATAAATTTTAAGACAATCAGCATTTAATCAACATCAAAGCATACTCCAGATGGTCAATTTAATTGGTAAATAAATGTCTAACTTATTTCTACATCTAGATTACAAGTTTATTTGCAGGTGAAAGTATCCATCTGTGTTATAAGGCTGAATTTGTTTTCATCCATCCATTCACATCCACTCGTTCAACTCGCATCTCATGAGTCAATTCTACGCAAGATCCTGTCAACTGTGAACAATGCCATTGCAAAGAAATGGTTTTCTATGTTGTTATGTAGAAACCACTGAAATAATGATTCACATGAACATGATTAACCTGGCTAAAGTGATATTCAAAATCCAGATACTGCTAATTTGTTTTGGAGGATCAGTTAGCTAGAACCAGTTAGCAGTGAGACCAAACCCAAGGTATGGTGTGGAGGTCCTTAGCAGGCACACCCTTCATGCAGGGGTGGGAGGCACACACTACGGAACCCAGACTAGCTACAGTCCTCTGTAATGAACACCTCCTCATCTAGTCCCGTTACTACTTTGCAGCTTGCTCCTCTCATTAGCTAATTTCTCCTTCTGCATTCGACTCAAGATAGCTCTTGCAGTCGTGATCCTTCTAGAACATTCTGGGATGCACAAACCTTAGGGACTTTGCCCTATTTCTGCTGACAGCTCTTCCTTCAGGGCTTTGCTTAAATTTCACCTTCCCCAGGACCCAGAACAGACTTCTCTTATTTAATACTGTAACCTGACCATACATATCTCACACCTTTGTTTTGCCTCATTTAATTATTTTTTCTCTTAGGATTTATTACCGTGGAACTTATTAAGTAAGCCAAACATATTTTATTGTTTTATAGTCTGTCTTCTTGGTGGAAGTATAAGCTACGTAATGTCAGGTTTTTTATTTGTTTGTATAATGTAAATAGAACTAAGCTTGGTACCTAGTTACCTCACGATATGTATTAAATAAAAGAATGAGCAAAAAATGATTATTAGAAGATGAAGAAAGTTGTGTTTCTAAGAAAACCTGCTTAGGACTGCCTGGTTAACTCAGTAGACTAATCATCCAGCAGAAAAGTATAAAAACAAGGTGTAAAATGTAGTGCTATATTAATATGCTGAGCTGTAAAAGACTTAAGTCAACAACTTCTCACATTGCCAGTTCTGTGGATAACAGACTACTCTTATGGACCTCTGGACTATATTGAATAATTTTGTTGAATTCACACACCTACAATATTTAAATAACAATGGAATACCTATTTCTGACAAAACTAAGCAAAAAAGGGGGATATAAATGAAGGACCACTTTGCATATGTATATACAAAACAGGATAGATATACAGCTACTTTCTCTTAATTCAAGGAGAAAAAAGATTTGTAGTAATAGTGTTTGGATAGGATATCATGTCTTCATCTTGTACTATGAATAACCACTAAGAAGACAATAATATGCAATGTATTAATTATTGAAACTGTGCGAGTAGTCGGTTTTGAAACTGTCTCATTGCTATCTATTTTTCAATAAAATTAATAAAAAAAAGCACCTGCTTAGGCGAGCTTAAGGACTGTGGTTCAATCCCCAGTACCACATCCTGCACCAGACCTTCCCCCAGGGCGGGCTGAGTCAGCCACAGAGTACTGGCATAGTGGCTCACATCTATAATTCCAGCTCTGGGGAGGCTGAAAACAGGAGGATCACTGCGAGTCTGAGCTGTGTAGTGAGACCCTGTAACAACCAAATACACTAAAAAGAAGAAGAAGAAGAAAAAAAAAATAAAGAAAGAAAAAAGTAAACCTGGCCTGAAAGATGAAGTTGAGGGCTGTGAATGACCAAGAGACAGAAATGTGAGCAGCAGCTTGGAATCAGTAGCTGTGTGAGGCTCTGGTCTACCTCTGGCAAACTCTGATTAGCTCTTTACCCTAATGATTTACAAGGTCTCTGTGGGCTGCAGAGCACGCAGTGGGTCAATAGCAGACCCAGCTACACATCCTGATCATTCATCTAGACTGGAAATTTCATCCTCAATTTCCTCATTGGTAATAAAAGAGCAAAGATATCTATATTTTACAGTATTTGACATGTAATGGGCAATTCTCTACTCTCAAAGGTCCCTTATATTGTTTGGGAAACCTGATACATGTATTCCTTGACACAGTTCAGCTGGGTAGGATGAGTTCTACAGTGGCAACGCGGATAAGTGAGAGAGGCGTGCCTTCCTAGGGTAGCAGGAGAAGAACTAAGGAGAGGGCTGACAGGTGGGCTGGGTGAGAGGGTCAAGAGAAAATTCATTAAAGAGAATGTACTTTTGATATTAAGGCAGCTTTTGGATTCCAGACAAATTGAATGACTGAAGATATGTCCTGCCTTCGGCACACAGTGCTGATAAGCATCTCAGCTCTACTGAGCTCAGAATGGAAATGCTTGGCAAAGCATCGAAACATAGACCCGTGAGGTGATGAGAGGGTGGTCTAGGGACGAGAGAAACACAACGAGTACCCTAAAAATTAGAACCAGCAACCCCAAAAATGACAAAGCACTGATGTTTGGAAAGGATAATTTTGGAATGGTGAGACAGTTGGTCAACATTTTGAAGAATTCATGATAAATGTATAACTCTAATCTATGAAGTGATGGCAAACTGATTAATTAGTAAACAAACTCAAAGCAAAGAGTTGATTGTTCTCACTCAAAGACACCGACCCTAACACTGTTGACTGTTGAATATTTAGCTATTGATAAGGCTAAATATCCCTATGTGTATGTTGGTTATATCTAAAGCTGACATAAAAAAACGTAAATACAACACAGAAAGTTGTAGAAGCAGGAGATATTTCATGACTCTTAAAAAGGAAAAAGAAGCATGTAAA